CAGATCACAGGACAGGATTCAGACGTACAGAGCCCTGCCTTTCAAAGATATAATTCCCACATTTCTGTGTCTCTCCACTTTAATACACAGAAACTTCTAAAACGCTAGCAAGATTAACAAAAGTAGAAACATCACTGTTGTTGTTAAGCGTCAGTGAGTCAGTTCCAATGCATAGCAACCATGTATAGTGTTTCAGAGACAGAAAATCTTTGTGGAAACAGAAAACCGCATCTTTCTCCCACTGAGTCGCTTATGTATGGAGTCACTGTGTTCCCAATTATTAACCTTTTGCCATCGAGTCAGTTCTGATTCAAAGCGACCCTGTATAATAGGGTTTCCAAGAAGCGGTTAGTTGGTTTGAACCACTAACTTTATGGTTAGCAGTCCATTGCTTCTCCTACTTCGCCACACCAGGACTCCAATGATTAACCTTTGTTGTTGTTGTTAGGTGCCATCGAGTTGGTACCAACCTTATACACAGCAGAACAAAACACTGCCCAATCCTGGGCCAACCTCACTATTGTTGCCACGCTTGACTCCATCAATGCTGCCACCTGGCTAATCCATTTCATTGGGGGTCTTTCTCTTTTTTTCTGAACCTCCACCTTGCCAAACAGGATGTCCTTCTCCAGCAATGGTCCCTCCTGACAATATGTCTGAAGTATGAGAGATGAAGTTTGGCCATCTTGGCCTCCAAGGAGCACTCTGGTTGCACTTCTTCCAAAAGCAGGCACCAAATAGTTCTTCTGGTCTCAAGAATTGTGGAGACAGATGTTCACATGTTCCATTTGTCTGCTGGACTAATTGCTTTCAAACATATTCCGCTCTCATTTCTCTTTCTTCCAAACATAGAGACACCAAAAGCTGCACTTCAGATGACTGCTCGCTCATGAGCTTTTAAGTTCTCAGATGCTACTCACCAAAATAAGATGTAGAAAATTGTCTCTGTGGACTATGTTACATCAGTTGACCATGGTGTCCCCGGAGACTATGATCTTGAGCCCACAGGTATTTAAACACTATATAAATGATGCCTGGTAGCACTGTAGGTTTGGCACTGGACTGCTAACCACAAGGTCAACAGTTCAAATTCACCAACCTCTCCAAGGGAAAAAGATGAGATTGTCTGTTCCCATTTTAAATAACCTACATAACGTCACTATTAATCAGAATTTAGACAAAAATTTGGTTTGGGATACACCTGGAATTATAAGATAAACTTTCCAACATTTTCACAAATTAGTATATTTCTTCTGGGATTTATCATTTAAAAGAAACTAAAGGAGGGTTCAAACACTCTCATAAATGGTAGATAAAATTATAAAATTAAAACTCAGAAAAAAGGGTAATTGGACTAGGAAATAGAAACGCCCCTGACAGCATCATGAATTTATGTAAGATGCAAGGATAAAAAAATTTCCATGTTAATCTATTATCCACATCTGTCAGGCGTTTCAAGTGCTGGCCCATGTCTAGTGAATGAAACATTACTTTCCAAGTAAATTTTTGAAGTAGGGTGGAGACCCCAAGATATTCTGTGATAATTACCTAACTTGAGTACAGGCATGCACTCATAGATACACTTACATAAACACACATATACTATCTGATATGTCTGTCAGTTCCGTGCTATCATTAAAACATGAACCATTCTTTCTGTTCACTATAAGGAGCTGCCCTTTTTAGAATCCTTTTGAGACATGCAAAAGATTGCCAACATGTTTGGAAACCCTAAACAGTTCACATATGTAAACATTTCTGAGTTACTGAATTGTTAAGAAACCATTTAGTCCAATGAACCAAAGGAGCCCACATTTCATTTCCCAAGATTCTAAAAACCATGATCCTGTGTAACCAAATTACAATGAAGGATTAGGACTTTGTGAGTCCTAAAAATAAACACCAAAGACCTTTCTGGTTCTCACAAATTTGCAGGAATTGATAAAAGGGGAATACTAGACACGAATGATTACAGACAATAGGATCAAGCTGACAGTCACCCACCCAACAGCTTCATTCCTGGTCCGCTTCTCGCGGAGCAGATTCTTTCATTCTTTCGTTGCAAAATAGCCAAACAGCCCTATGTCTCCCTGCATATCCACTCCTCCTTCCATGAATACCTCAGCAAACAGTTCACTTCACCTGTATCATAGCAAATCTCCATTTTCGAATTTCTCCCGCGAAAGTGTGACGTCATTAAACAGAGACCAAAACAGTTCAGGACCCAATACTTAGTCCGCCTACCTTCCACCGCCTTTTATCAAATGGCCAATCAAATTCTCCATTGACTACAAACCTCCACAGACGTGCCGCGTGCCCCACCCAACGGAAGCTACTCCAAGCTTGTGACGTAATGACGGGCTTAAAGCCCGAGGGCCCGTCTTTATCTAGGGGAACTGGAGAAGGGTGTCGCTTATCTTATGACGCGAAATAAGCTCGACTATAAGGATCAGAAGGCGGCAAGGACTGAAGGACGCAGTTTTTGACCCTGTGTTTGGGGAATTCAACTGAGTAAGTTACAAGTGGCCCTTAGGATCGCTCAGATTGGGTGAGGTCTAAATTCCTCAGTCCTTTTTCATACAGCCCATTCTATCATCTGTCGTTTTCACCCTGTCCCCTCTTCCACCAACCCATCAGCTCCCTTATCCTACTTCTTTTTGCGCGTGCGCAAAAGTCTTTTGGCTTCCCTTGTAGTTTCCATTTGTAGCGCATGAGGGCGTATATTGTTCGCTGTTGGGTAATTTGAGACCCGCCTCACTTTTTGTCATAGTCTTGCAGAACTACGGGTGCCGACAAGGGGAGAAATTATTAGGAAAGTGCCTATTTCGAGAAAGTGGTATTGAGCGCCGGTTGCCGAAGGAGTCCTTTGAAAAGATAGAGTGTAGGGATTTGTATTCTAAAACTGAGTCAATTCCTTTTGCAGGACGGAGCTTTGGTAGCGTAGTGGTTACAAGTCAAGCTGCTAACTTCAAGGTCAGCAGTTCGAAACTACCAGCCGTTCCGCGGGAGAACTATGAGGCTTTCTGCTCCCGTAGATTTACAGCCTCGAAAACCTTTTACAGCATCTTTGTGAGTCCACCGGCACACCACCAACCAACCAGGTCTTGTTCCTGGAGTCCTGGTGTGGCGCTGTGGTTTAATATGCAGGACTGCCAAGTCGGTTTGAGCCGCAAAGTCGGCAGTTCAAGCTTACCAACTGCTCTTTGGAAACCCAGTACAGTGTCACTAAGGGTCTGAACCGAATCTAGCACTTAAACAGTCTTGTTCCTGGAATCCTGTTTTGGCATTGTAGGGTAATCATTGGACTGCTAACTGAAACCCTTTTCAGGGTCGCTGTGAGTCCGAACTGACTTGATGGTACTTGACTATAGCAACAAGTCTTCCTGGAAATTTGGTGTGGCACTGTAGAATAAGCACTAGACTGCTCGGAAACCGTATACAACGTTGCTATGAGTTGAAACCCACTTGAGTAACTAGTCTTGTTCTTAAAGAGTTGAAAATCCAGATATGAAAGGGAGCTAACAAAATAATAAATGTTAACACTGTCTTGTTCATTGTCCTTGGGTGAATTTCTTACTCAAGGCCACTCCATACTGCCGAGTAGAACTGCTCCAGATCCTCAGGTTTGCTTTTGCATCTCTAACTGGGTTTTGAACTTGCCTTTCCGTTAATTTTTGTTAAGTGCCTTATAGGCGGTTCCAACTCTGAGCTATCCTGTACAGGGTTTCTGAGGAGTTGCTGGTGAGTTTAAACCGCTATAACCTTTAGGTCTAGCGCATTATCCTGCAGCTCCACATCAGGACTCCCCACTACCAGTTAGTATTCAGCCTTTAGCAGTTTGTGCCATCCAGGGACTAAATACAGCATACTCTACTGAATGCTAATAGGGAAAGCAAGGACAGAAAGTGTTAATTGGAAAAGTGCTAGTGTAAGATCAAAGAGTGTTAGCCTTAAGGCAAAGGAGCAAAGACAAGAAAATGCTCAGGGACTATTTGTCAAGAACAATGCATTCTTCACATTTGTTGCACAGCAAGACCTATGAAATTGTGACTGCTATGTATCTAAATACTTGCATATAATCTTAACCAAGATAAATTACGAAAAACATTGAAGTAGGAAAAAAATTGCTGGATATTCTGTTTAGCCTGTCATTGAACAATTTTACTGTAAATGCTATATAGAAAAGGGCTCTTGCAAATTAGTTTTTGTTCCATGGAAATTGAATTAGTGATTAGTTTTGCATCTTAGCAAATTAATTTCCACATTCCTATGGAGTCCTGGTGTGGGGTTGGTTCAAGCTCACCAGTTCACTAAGGGAACTGAATCTACAGAACTTAACTCTTTGAAATCTCATTTGAACTTGGTTTTTTAATCTCTTCTCCCTTATTGAAGTAGACTTTTCAGTAAGTATTCATATTTTGTAGGAGTAATGACTTGTAACTCCACTTAAAATTTCATAAACTTCAGGTTAGACTGCATGTAAGGTCGGCAGGCTCATTGACACACAAGGGGCTTTGAAATATGCTTCAACACTAACACCATTAATATTTTCACATGCATATGAGGTTATTGACAAGATACTATGGGGTTGGATCAGATGCTCTATAGTTCTCAAATTGAACTATATAACTTATAACCTGCTTCACAAAGGGGTTATTGTTCCATGGAGTCCACTCTGACTCTTAGTAACCCTGTAAACCTTTAAAGGAGCAGACTGCCTCATCATTCTGAGGGGAACAGCTGGTAGTTTCAAAACTCTGACATATAACCTTCACAAGGGGGGTAAGAGTCAAATTCAGGACCAAGATGGTAATTTTACACAGGGATTGTGATTGCAAAGATGATAAGTGTGTGCGGGATGTTTTGTAAATGTTTACTGACATAGGAAAATTTAATCTACAGTGTGCTCGTTTTATGCCTTTGTGTTAGCTGTTTGGCCCCAGCAACCAAAGATTTTTAAAAGCCTCACAAGTATCACTTGTTAATTTGTATTCACAGGAATGGAGATTGAAAATGAAATTCAAGACAGGTCATTGGAAGAGGAAAGCATAAAGAAAAAAGATAACGAAAAAAAGAAAAGGTCTCGGGTTAAACAAGTGCTAGCTGACATTGCTAAGCAAGTAGATTTCTGGTTTGGAGATGCAAATCTGCACAAGGATAGATTTCTGAGAGAACAGATAGAAAAATCTAGAGATGGATGTAAGTGAAACCAGATGAACTCTTGCTTGATTTTGACTAACAGCTTTTGTACACAATCTACTGAACTTCCTCTTGGCATTTCATTTCATTTCAGATGTTGATATATCACTTCTTGTGTCATTTAACAAAATGAAAAAATTGACCACTGATGGAAAATTAATTGCCAGGGCATTGAAAAGTTCAGCTGTTGTAGAGGTAAAAAAGATTATAAATATAACTATGCCATAATCTACATATCCAGCTCTTATTAATTTAATAATGTTTGTTTTTAAGTTGGATTTAGAAGGCACCAGGATCCGTAGAAAAAAGCCTCTAGGTGAAAGACCAAAGGATGAAGATGAGCGGACTGTTTATGTGGTAAGACATAGTATATAATGTAACATAAAAGTGTGAAACAGGAGACAAATAGCACAAAAAGCATTTTATTGTATAGCAGTAGTTGATAAGGTATTTGATTTTTTTTTTAGGAACTACTTCCCAAAAATGTTAACCACAGCTGGATTGAAAAAGTGTTTGGGAAATGTGGCAATGTCGTTTATATAAGCATCCCACACTATAAATCTACTGGAGATCCGAAAGGATTTGCCTTTGTAGAATTTGAAACAAAAGAACAAGCAGCAAAAGCTATTGAGGTAGGTGGGTCCAAAATCCTTAAGAAAAGAAACAGGAGACATGTTAACAAACTTGTTACAATAAATTTATTTATATACCACTTTTCAGTTCCTTAACAATCCACCAGAAGAAGCACCAAGAAAACCTGGTATATTTCCTAAGACAGTGAAAAATAAACCTATTCCAGCTCTTAAAGTACCTGGTAAGTTAGTTATATAGCTTAATATTTTAATATATGAAAGTATCATATTCCAATATCAAATTCCATCATAAATCCATTTGGTGTTACAGAAGAAAAGAAAAAGAAAAAAAAGAAGAAAGGTCGCGTGAAGAAGGAAGATAGTGCCCCAGCCAAAGAGGCAAATATAGACACAAATAATGAAAACGCCTGTACACTAAAAAGATCCAGGACAACATCTGAGGGGTCAGAAGTAGAAATAACTGAAACCCAAAAGCCGCTCACAAAGAAAAAGAAAAAACGGGAAAAGACTGAAGCATCAAACTTACCTGATGTAAAAACCGGTAAGAGGAAGAGGAGCTCCACAGATGCAGAATGCCTAGCTCCCAGATCTAAAGTGAAAAAAACCGCTCAAAAAGAAAACGTTAAAAAGGAAGATAAGGAAATTTCCCAAGAAAACAAAGGTAAATCTAAAGCGTTTTTTTTTCCATTTAGAAATTGTGCTGAATATTAAAATTTCTTAATCGGATTTTTTTTTAATGTTACAAAAATTTAGAAGTCTCCACAGAAGAGGAAAAGGATACAGGAGACAAAGACGGATCTCTTTTAAAAGCAAAAAGGAAGCACAAGAAAAAGCATAAAGAGAGACATAAAATGGGAGAAGAGGTTATACCATTAAGAGTACTATCAAAGTAAGTTTGGCAAATATATATATATATCTATCTGGTTGAAAAATGGCTGATGTCCGTCACCATTGCTAAAGTGCAATTCCAGATTATATTGAACAGAGTTGCATATTAGCAACAGTAGTGGCATGTCACCAATACTTTTCTGATACCATGAGGATATTGAAGATTCAAGATGATGGAAGTAGGATTCACCACACTCAAACATGGAAGCACTTAATTTAGTATGTCACAGCAAGTGCCCCCATGTTAAAGTAGAGGGGGTCCATTTAGACAATAAAAAATAAATGGAGAGCTCCTGAAGTCGTGTAGAAACTTAGAAAGAAGACTCACCATCACTAAAACATGGAAGCACTTACTTTTTTAGTTTCAAAGCAAGTACATCCACGTTTAAGTGATGGGGAGCCCAAACTTGAAACCCTAAGCATTCTTAAGGTCTTAAAGTCCCGGTTTGGAGACACCTCCACTGAAACATGGAAGCACTTACTTTAATTTCACACAGCAGGTACCCCCATGTTAAAGCAAAGGTGATCCCTTGTTAACTGCAGTATAGTTGGTTGCAATCCCGCATAGGGTTTCTGAGGAGCAGCTGGTGAGTTTGAACCAACCTTGAGGGTGATCACTTCTTGTCTTAGAAAGAATGTACTTAAAACAGCTGGTAAACCAAAGGTGTCCCCTTTATACTCTAGCAAATTCCAACTGGGAATAAATTGAATTCACTTCTACTAAAACAAGGAAGCACTTACTTATTTTAAAGCTAGTAGAAAGGACCTCCTTGTTAAAGTGGAAGGAAATCCATCCATCCAGGGAAAGAAAACAAAATAGCATACCTTTCTGAAGACTGTTTCTTTTACCTTCCTGAATCTGCTTCCAGAGAGTTGAGTTCTTCTCCAGCTGGGTAAAAGGCAAAGCCTTTGGGCGCTTGTATTTATACTATTCTCTAGTCCTGAATTCCTTTTGCCTTTTTATCTCAGAGAATCATTACAAGAGACTTTTGTTATTTTAATGTATCGGCTCTCAAGGAATGTATGATCCTGGGTGGGTCTGGATACTTTTTTTTTTTTTTTTTTAAGTATACAGATGTCAATGTTAACAGCTAAAACCATTACCAGTAGATATCCTCCACTTAAAAAAAAAAAAAAAAAAACAAAAACAAAAAAGCTTTTTGATGGCAAAGATTAGGTAACAATGAGTGCTCCCTTGGAGCCAGTAGAGTAATTGTGTTTCTATCTGGGGGAGCTCTGGCTGTTTGCAGAAATATCCACATGTTAAATGCATGTAAATAAATAAATTACTTCTGATGGGTGGGTATTTCTTTTTTTTTTTTTTTTCCTTAGAAATTCCTTTTGATTCAAGTCAATACTAAGGAATGTTATCTCTAATTGAAAGCTGTTTCACAAATAACCTCTAAATTTTAATCTCTCAATTTCCCCTGTGGCTGGCTGACAATCTAGCTACTTAAGGAGTTAATTCTAAATTTCATTTAAATAAATATCAATATTTAAAACATGTAAGAATTTAATTCCCAATGGAAAACATTTTGAGATAAGGACAACTCTCCCTACCCTTAATTAAGCAAGTGAGGTGAACCAAGGAAATAATTTGAGTGTATAGGTTAAAGAAAGAAAAGTTGGAGGGGAAAGTAGGTGCAAGATACTGTGAATATATATAGTTACATTTTTCTTAACATATTATTTGTTTATTCATCTGCTATCAGTATTTTAATACCTCCCATTTGTTTGTTTTTTCCTTACAGGAGTGAATGGATGGATTTGAAAAAGGAGTATTTAGCTCTACAAAAAGCCAGCATGGCTTCTTTGAAAAAAACAATATCCCAAATAAAATCAGAGTCAGAAATGGAAATAGACCATGGAGAACCTAATAAGTCTGGAATGAAAAACGAAAAAAGTAAAAGATAGTTTTTATTATATCCTATGATATTCTGTGTCATATTCTGTATGTGACTTTGTAGGTTAATGTGCTAACTGCAAAGGAAGTTTGAACCACTAGGTAGGCTGACTCAATGGCACTTAAACAATAACAACAAATGGTGGTGGTTGTGTGCCATAAGGAGCTCTGATAGTGTAGTGGTTACTAATCGGCCTGCAAACCTTAAAGTCAGCAGCTCGAAACTACCAGCTGTTCTGCAGGAGAAAGATGAGGCTTTCTGCTCCCTTAAAGATTTACAGCCTCGGAAACCCTGTACAGGGGCACTATGGAACCAACTCCATGCACATCTCCACCATGTGATGTGGGTTATGTTTTGACTCATAGTGACACTGTATAGGGTTTCCAAGACTATATAAGTCATTTGTTGTTGTTAGGTGCCATCGAGTGGGCACTGCACACAGCAGAAGGAACCATTGCCCAATCCCAGGCCAATCTCACTTCTGTTGCCACACTTGAGTTAAGGGAGCAGAAACCCTCAAATTTTCTCCAGCCGAACCTCTAGTAATTTTGAACTGAGAACTGTTAGATTAGCAGCCAGACTTATAACCATTTAGCTACCTGCTACTTATCTTGTTGCTGCTAAATGCTGTGGAGTCAATTTTGACTCTTATTATAAGGTTTCAAAGGGGTGGCTGGTGAGTTTGAACTACAGATCTTCTGGTTGAAACCAGCTGTGGGGTCCAGTGTTTTATCTCACTGCGTCACACCAGGACTCCATAGTACTTAAAAGGAAGTTTTGTTTTTTTTTTGTTTTTTTTTGGGGGGGGGGAACTTAAATTATAAAAATCCACATTATTGGCATAATTAGAAAAATCTATAGTTTGTCAACTTGTCCAGAAGTGTGATTTCTTGATATTAGAATATGTGAAGGGCAAATTGTAAATAGTGGATCTTTTCATTGTACTACTTTTCTCTAAAAACTTTCACTATTAATTAATTTAGTAAATATTAATTGCCTAGTTAATGGATACAGATGTTCATAATCCTCCAGGTAATAGTTCCTAAAAATTATCAAAGTTGATGTTCGCTTTGGGGACATAAAGTAATGGATGCCATAAAGTATTTTACTCCTATTTGTTCTGTACTTTGCTGCTTGGTTCAAGGAAAAAGGCCTTTTTCAGAGGGAGAGGGCCTTATGAATATTCAAAACTAAAAGTTTGGGCTTAAAGTAATAAACTACTTTATTTCATTTATAATCTGAAATAAGTTGCATGAAATTTAATTTTTAAATCAACCTAAGAAATCAAAGTATCATTCATTGCCTTATTCTAAAGTAATCCTCCTAAGTGTTAAATTGTTAAATGTAAGAGATTTACTTCTGGTCTTTTCCTTTTCAAATTCAACAGTCAACAGTGAAGAATGTCGCCCCCAGGAGGTTAATTCATTGGGACCACAGTTTGTGAGTGGAGTGATTGTGAAGATCATTAGTGCTGAGACCCTACCAGGCAGGAAACAAGTTCGGGTAATGCCTTTGAGCCCCCAGGGTAGTTGTCACTCTCTCCTCTTAGTAACTCTAATGTGTGAAAATGTGTTTGTTTTATATGAAAATAAAAAAAACAAATCAGAAGTTTTACCTCTACAATAAACTTGTCGTTTCTAGAAGATTTTTGACTCTATAGTAAATTTTAAGATATAACGTAAAGCGATTCTAAAGATTGAAATTTCTCAATGGATCAGATTTACAGGGCATACAATTTAAAAGTCTGTTCTATAGGAAAATAATCATTTATGTTTATATTTATTGGTACCTTAAATGTTAGTTGCCATGTAGTATCTCATTGTTACCTGAAAAGATAGTAAAATGGTTTACCAATATTTTTTAGAATGTTTCCAGTGAAAATGGATTTAAGAAAAAACAACATCAAATTTTTTGGAAGATGTATGACACTGTGGATTAATGCGCTGGACTGCAAAGTCGGTGTAAACCACAAGGTCAGTGGTTCAAGCTCATAAGCTGCTCCTTGGAAACACTATACAGGGTCACTCTAGACAGGGTCCTTATGGGTCAGAACTGACTTGATGGTACTTAACAATAACAATGATCATAGTCAGCATTATTGTTAAGTTCCCTCAAGTATGTTCTGACTCATAATAACTCAAATTAGGGTTTCTGTGGAGCTAGTGGTAGGTTTAAACTGCCAACTTTGTGGTTAGCAGTCCAGTGCTTATCCTACAGCACCACACCAGAACACCAGTGTTATCGTTGGTCTGACATTATTTTTAAATTGTAAGAATCAGATAACTGTCTGGTTTTCGAACTCACTAGAGAATTTATTGATTTGTTTTAGTGAAACACTTAACTCTCAATAGATTCTTAGAAGATTTACATCATGTTTACAAACATGTTAAAACTAATTTTTTTGGCATTAAGCATGGTATTATGTATACATATTTATTACTTCACATGAATTGAATTTATTTTTGTCAGTCCTATTTTAAGATTAGAAATTTTTTCCTGAAAGAAATGCAGGGTTTGAATTTTGGTATTTGATTTTTTTGTTGTTTGTTTTCAGCTATAATAGTTTAATATGATATATGTAGTTGCTGTTGCTAAGTGCTGTCCAGTCAGTTCCAACCCATAGTGACCCTGTATAGAGTTTCCAAGGAGTGGCTGATGAGCTTGAACCACCAACCTTGCAGTTCAAACGGCTTTGCAGTCTGGTGCATTAACCCACAGCGCTACACTAAGACTCCTTTTTAATATATAGTGTTATACAATTATTATTATATACAATTTATCTTATGTAGCCTTTACACCAACACGTACAGTAATGTTTCTTTATTGGTGATGCCATATATCTCTGTGTAGGATTGCCAAATCTTATTCACCCTTACTCTGTCACATGTCTAGGTGAGTCACTCAATTTTGCAAAATGTTCTTTGATATCATACCAAAAGTTTTAAAATTCATGTATCCTGACATAGCCCAGTTACTCTTATAAAGCTTATGTAAGCATTGAAGGTTTGGCTCACTCTCTGTGCATGCACTCTCTGAAGCCCTGTCCTAAAATCATGTTGTTGTTCAAGAGCTGCTGACTTGTAGGGACCCAGTAATGGGTTTCTATGGAGTGGCTGATTAGTTTGAACCTCCAACCTTGTGGTTCAAATAGACTTATGGTCTAGTGCTTCTCCTACAGTGCCTCACCAGGATCATGTCACTAAAACAAATGTTAAATTCTCTGTCCCATTATTGATTAGGAATTTGGTCAGTCCCATTAGTTAGTCCCTTAGTATATGGTTGTTGTTATTAAGTGCCTTTAAATTTGTTATGGTAGCAATATAGAATTTAAGGTTAGAAAATTGAGAGATATCAATGCTACTGTCATTTGTTAACATGAAAAAGATTGACAGGGAAAATTAATGTAACTTGTTATTTGGAATGCTGACATAGATTTCATTATGTGTATCAAAGAGTAATTATTATCTAAGTAGAAATTACACCAATTAAAAGTTTATTATTTATGATACTTGAAACCGTGAAATAAGTCCATTAATCAATAGAGTTACTTACATTTTGCTGGAACAAAACTGAGCTATGAAGATGGTTCCTGCTGACTGTGACTTGCCCATATGATTACCAAGCTAATTTGTCATTCTTACAAGGGTTTTAAATCAGGAGATTAGCCTGACATTATAATGGATATTTAGTAAATATCTTTTGAGTTGTAACAATCTAATCTGTTTGATAAATCAGTTACAAAACTCTCACTACTACTAGTGAATCCATTCTAATTTCCTGGATTTAATACAGATTTTTTTCCCCTTATTTTGTCCCTAAAATTAGTATTAATTAGAAAAACGGGAAAGGTTATCAGTTGTATTTTTTATTTTCTCTAGTTAATTTACTTTTTGAAATTGATTCAGTTAACATTTACCAAGTGCCACTTTTCTGATGCTTACTGTTGGGGTGCATCTTCTAAAGGGATTCAGATTTTTCCTAGCTGTTCTTTAACTTTTCTAAACATTGTTTGTTGTTTCCTTTAAACTCAATGATCTGAAAAGTCTACATCTAAAAGTAATCTTAACCAAAAGTAATCTTAACCAAAAGTAATCTTAACCAGTGTATCTTCAAAAAGGAAGCCCAAGACTTAAAGTCAGAAGATCTATTTTTTTTTCTTTTTTTTTTTTAGTTGGAATCTCCCCTCATTTATTTTTTAGCTTTATGTATGGAAGGTGATGAATTTAGAATTTGTAGCATTTCTACATAAAGACTTTGTATATACCCTTTGGAGCCTCCTGTGAAAAAAGTTGATTAAGAATGCAGGAATCTCCTTAATTTGCCATCACTGCAGGGGTTATACGTAAAATTTTCCTTGCTGGAGGATGACAACTTGTTTGAGAGATTCCTAGGGTATTTTATCTGAAAGGTAATGTGTATCTGCTGCTGAAAAGTTATAGCCTTGAAAACCCTGTGGAGCAGTTCTACTCTGCACACATGGGGCTGCCATGAGTCAGAATTAACTTAACAGCAGCTGAGAACCACAAGTACAAACCTACCTTCTCCAATTTTTTTTAAAACATTTTTTCTCATTTGCTACCGCAATACTTGGAACTCTTTTGCAGGGAAGAGTGAGACTGCACAATATTTGTACATACTGTTCTACGATGGAATGCTAACACAAATTACAGATTTTGGTGTCCTGGTATGGTGGTGTAGGATAAGCACTATACTGGTAACTGCAAGGTCAGTGGTTCAAACTCACTAGCTGCATCTCAGAAACCCTATGAAAGGTCACTCTGAGTCAGAACCAATGTGAGGGCACTTAACAACAAAAATGCAGATTTAAAGGTATAGCATAAATGAATGAAAGCAAATTATGCGAACACTTGGTGTTAAAATAGATTGTCTTCTTGATCCAAATTGTTTTTAAGAATATTTTTGTGTAGTTTTAAAAAAATATTTGATGTAGGTTAAATATTTATTTCTAATGACTAATTTAGATAATGCCTTTTGACACAGCCTTTAGGATTACTTGTTAATTATTGCAAAACCTTTTTTAAAAAGTATTTCTACTGAACTCTCATACAGGATACTTTGGCAGCAATCTCAGAAGTTGTCTATGTTGACTTGCTAGAAGGAGATACAGAATGCCATGCAAGATTTAAGACTCCTGAAGCTGCTCAAGCACTGATAGATGCATGCACAGAAATTCAAAAGAAACACAACTGGAAACTCGAGGTCCTTTCTGGTAAAATCCATCATAATTTTTTGAAACTTCTTTTTCATTAAATCTTTTTATTCTGGGTTATTGTGTTGTATTTTCTGATTTTAGCATGAAATTCGTAATTTAGTTTTCATACGCTTCATAAAGTAATGCTAAATATTATAAAGTAAATACTCTAGTTTTGTTAAATGCTATAGCTTGAATATATTTCTACATTTTGTTGTTTTGTGTCCCATGATGAACATGTTACTTGTTTTTAAGGTGATCATGAGCAGAGGTATTGGCAGAAGATTTTGGTAGACAGACAGGCCAAACTGAATCAGCCTCGAGAAAAGAAAAGAGGCACTGAAAAGGTAAGCAATTCATATTTGTTTCCTGTTTTTGAAGCTTAAATTTTTTCAAGGATTAATTGCTTCTGAAAGTCAGTAATATATAATCAATCATAAAATAACCTTTTTTTTCCCTCTGCCTAACATTTGCAAAGTTTATACCATTGGGATAGAATATTTATCTATACTTCCAGATTCATAAATGGTAATAATTTTCCCCAAACTGTGCATAATTTTAACTTAGAGGGTTTTTTTTATTTGTTGTTTCTTTTTTAACTAATCAATTTTACTTCAAAGTTAAAATCTTAACTTCTGGCTGCTGGGTACCTTGATGGTTACTAATTATTGGAAGATTGTCTTAATGGTAAAACACTATGTATTTAGAGATTAGTTTCTAAAGATATGAGGCTCCACAGATAAGATTGGGAGCCTGTACTTAGTGCTAGCTATAGAAATGATAAGCTTGATTCCTTTTTCTCTGGGAGAGTCAACAAGTATTCCAATCTTAAACAATTTAAAACAAGCCTCTTGTTTACTAATTTTATGTTTGTGTTTGTATAAAATGATACTAGGCAGTTTTTTAAATAGTTAATAGCTAGTTACCCTGTCAACGTTATTCTTTAAAATTACTGAACACAAAATGTTTTGCATGTTTAACATGAACAAAATAGATAACGTAACTAATTTTAAATTGTATATTATGAAAGTATGAGAAAAAATGTAATGTGGATCCTTTTATACTTGTTTAGCATTTTTAAAACTTTGCTTCTAGTATTATAGGTTTGTTGATTTTTTTTGAGTCATCTTTATACTTTCCCCCTCCCTCTAATTTAAAAATCAAGTGTCTTTAATCAGTCCTTTAGAGTTTAAGGTAATTTCTGGGGAAGTTTCCTACTGGTCTTTGTTAATTATGTTTTCTTGCATAGAGAACTTGCTGAAATGGGGCATCCTCCTTCCTTCCTAAAGACTCTTTCAGGTCTCTGAGGTGTTAATTTCAAAACCTGCTTGAGATTATTTAAATGTTAAAATCATCAATCAAGAGCTGGTATTGAATTAGCTCAGTTTTTTAGATAATGCTCATAATTGCTGTGAATTTTCATTTAAGTTATATGATTTTTTTTTTTTTTTTAAAGGAGGAGTTAACAATTTAGAACTTTTTTTACAAACTTGGAAAGATTCTATCTTTGAAAATTAAACTTTAGTCAGAAGAAACAAATGCTGGCTAGGGACCTGGTGTGGGTTAATGAGCCACACTGCAAAGCCATTTGAACTGCCAGGTTGGTGATTCAAGCTCACCAGCTCCTCCTAAGAAACTCTATACAGGGTTGCTAAGGGTAAGAATTAGCTGGCCAGCACTTAACAGCAGGGTCCTGGTGTGGTGCTGTTGTATAAGCACTGCACTGCTGACTGCAACAGTTCAGACCCACCAAGCACTCCTGGAAAGCCTTATTCAGGTTTACTATGAGACAGAACTAACTCAGTGGCTCTTGAAAACAACACAGGGACTAGCTCTGTAGTTAGGTACTTAACTGCCACCTGAAAGGCTGGGAATCCCAACCCACCCAGAGGTACCTGGGTAGACTGTCCCGGAGATCTGCTTCTGAAAGGTCACAACCTACCATAGCAGAGTCACCATTTTCTTGTTGTTGTTAAGTGCCTTCGAGTCGGTTCCAACCCATGGTGACCCTGTATAGGGTTTCTGAGGAGCAGCTGGTGAGCTTGAACCGCTGACCTTGCAGTTCAAAGGACTTTGCAGTCTGGCGCATTAACTCACAGTACCACACCAGGACTCCAGAGTCATAGTCAGTCAGAATTAACTGAACAGCAAGTAGCAATAAACAACAGCCATTGAATTGGAAAGATGTGGTCCTGACCTCTTAACCTGTTGCATTATCTATCCGCTTTATAATTAGCAGAATATGTTTCAGAAACATTTGGAAGTACAGATCTTAACAGACACTATGGTAGTAGTGGCTCAGCTCATGTAAAAGAAGGTATCACACAAAATACCTTCGAGAGTTTAGATGACAGAGTGCTGTAGGATAAGGACTGCACATCTGATCACAAGGTTGGCAATTTAAAACTACCACCATCACCACAAAAACCCTATACAAGGTTATTATGAGTCAGAACATACTTGAGGGAACTTAACAACAACAATCCTGTTAAGTATTATTTAGTGTGTATAGTGTTTCCGAGGAGCGGCTGGTGAGCTTGAACCTTGCGTTTCACACCAACTTTATAGTCCAGCACATTAGCCCACACATCTTGCAAAAAAATTTGATGCTGTTTTATTTATCTATTTATTCATTTAGCAAATATTTAATAACTCCATTTTGTTAGCCACCTTGCTAGAAACTGGGGACACAGTCATATGTAATAAAGTCCTATTTTCTTAAAGCTTACAGATAAACAGGATAGGTATGGCAAATTGATGACCTGTCACAAAAGATCAGGAAGATCATGAAAGAGCTGCCAAAAGGGATATCACTTATTTACTCATTCTAGCCCAAACCTCTGAAGAATGTCTTGACACTTTGTGCAGCTTAATAAAATTGGATGGCAGCTACTGGAGACAGATTGGAACTTTTTCTTATTTCTGTTAACCTTTCAAAATATTTAAATTTTTTTATTTTATCAAAATTGTCTCCTCTGTTCAAATTAGTTACATGTCACATATTAAGAAGGTAATAATTCATGAAATTTTTGAACAACACAGGTGTGACAGAATTTTAAACACACAGTTTTGAAGAGTCACTTCTCACTGATGAATAGATTTTTAATCTAATCTAAAAGTGGTTGTTGTTGTTAGGTGCCATCAAGTTGGTTCCGACTCATAGGAACCATGTATACAACGTAACAGAACACTGCCCAGTCCTCTGCCATCCTCAGTTGTTATGCTTGAGTCCATTGCTGCTGCCAGGGTGCTAATCCATCTCATTGGGGGTCATCTTTTTTGCTGACCCTTCACTTTATCTAGCATAATGTCCTCCAGGGATTACTCCTTCCTGATAACATGGCTAGCTGGCACTTAACAACAACAATATCATTTAAGAGGGAGTATGGTAACTCCATAGGATGAGCACTATACTGCAAACAACAAGATCGGTTCGAGTCCACCATTCACTGTGGAAGAAAGATGAGGCTTTCTGACCCTGTCCAGGGTTCCTATGATTTGATTCCATCTAGACAACACTTAACAACAACAATCATTTAAGAAATGTCTTGTTAATATTCAAAATACAAATATAAAATAAAAAGGGGTTATAAATCAGCAAACAACGATGATAGGTCCTGGTCCCTCCTTAAAAGTTAAAAAAATGCAACTATATAGTTAACTAATAATCATTGTAATATTTTTATTAACTTAGAATTAAATGAGGGATTTTTAATAGTTCAAAGATTTAATATCCATTGTACTATGGTTGATTTAATCTAACCTATTAATACCCCTTTCCCTTTATTTTCAGCTGGTATTTTGAATTTTTTCTAGTCATGATTGTCTTTTCTTCTTTGGATGCCTGATACATTTTCATTTCTTCTTTTCTTTCTCCTTAGTTAATCACCAAAGCTGAAAAGATTAGACTGGCAAAGACTCAGCAAGCAAGTAAACACATTAGATTTTCTGAATATGATTGAAGAAAAAAAGAAAATGATATTTCTGAATATTTCATTGGATACTTGAGCTACTAGGAAATCCATCTTTATTAGGATAATGTTACACAATGTTGTTCTAAAGCCCATACATTAAAGAAAAGCATACCTTGGTTCCTCAACTTGTATATAAGATTTTTTGTAGAAATAAGTACATGTATACTACAATTTTTGATTAATCTTGTTTCTTTTTTTTTTTTTTTTTGTCGAAAGGGTCTCCTGTTATAGCAACCACAAAGTTACTGAGTAAATAAATGTGTTTGACCATTATCAATTTTATTACTGTATTACAAACAAATACATAATTGTAAAAATAGTCAACATTGTTTGAATTCCTGATTTACAAAGAAAAGGTAAAGACTTGAACAATGGACTCTTAATAATTAGTCATTTATAAATTAATAATTTGTTTTTTCGTTTCACATATCCTAAATGTCTTCATGTTATTTATACAGACAGAATGCATAATATTTCCTTCTCTTTATTCCAGTTTGCTTTTCTGACCTTCCATTGCTGACCATATAGAGTGATTCCATTGAAATGTTGATTTTTTGATAGCATTCAGTTACTTTTTTCATAAATAAAGTTAACATACTATGAGCATAGGAAAAAAAAAATCAATATTTGGTGGAACTGAGGTCTAACATTTAATCCGGAAAATCATAGGTCTGGAGCATTTGAAGCCTTCCCAGAACAAAATCTACAGAACCTTTTCTATTTAAGATCCTGGGTAGGAAGGCATAAAGCACTGACTTAGTGGGCCATTGTCTTCACTTCCTTGGACTCTGTAAGTGGCTTTGAAGTCTATCTCTTGGCAGGCCCTTTGACTCAGTAAGGAGGTTTACATCTTTCCATGGCTTGATATGTCAGGATTAAAATAGTAAGGAACACATTTCTGTATGTATTCTAGGAGCCCTGGTGGTACAGTGGGTTAAGTGTTGGATTGATAACCATGAGGTTGGTAGCTCAAACCCACCAGCTGTTCCTTGAAAGAGAGATGAGGCTAGCTGCTTCCATAAAGATTTGGTCTCGAAACCCCCTAGGGAACAGTTCTATTCTGTCTTAAAAGGTCATTATGAGTCACAAGTACTTCACAGCATTGAGTTGGGTATATACTCTGTCAGGTACATGACAAGACACACTACCTCTCTTATAACACATTGAAACTATAAACACTGATGTTTTAAGACGTGCATATTGATTTTCCCCTAACAGAATAACACTATAGATTTTACCTTCTCTTTTCTCAGCTAAGTTCACAATGCAACAGAAAGTTCTAGCTTACCACATGGTTGAAAGCAGCAGAAAGAGGCTATCTTCAATTTCGTCTAGTCCACTGAGGGTTTATCTTGTTAAAGTTGAATAGGGGATAAGTAGAAAAATGGGAATAATTGCAGAATGGAGCTAAGCGAGTGTCTTCTCCAAGATTGCGTACATAGGTTTAACCAGACATGATTATAGGTACCTTGAAGGTGTGCCAGTTGAGAGCCAGGTAAACTAAAACCAAGCCTTATACAGTGTGTCAAGTAAACGCAGAATCAAAACGAGGAAAGCTGTAGGGAAGAGAACAAGCTAGATCTGGGTCAAGGAGTATGTGACTGTAGTGAACTGATGGCATGGGTGTGCCTGAGGCAGAAAGGACAGAAAATAGTCAATAAATATTGTTGAATAATGACAAGTAGTGGCAGTAAGATTACCCTTCAGGCAAGAGCTCTAGTCCCAGGGCACACATAGTAGGCTATGTGTTGGTTGCAAGGAACAGGATATTTTTGAGCATAGATATCATCAAGAAACCCTGGTGGTATAGAGGGTTAAGTCATGGGTTGCTAACCCCAAGGCTGTGTAAGAAAGGTGAGAATGCCTTTTCCAGTAAAAATTTACAGCTTCGGAAACCCAAGGGAGCAATTCTACTCCACCCTATAGGGTCTCTGAGTCAGAATTGACTCATTGGTAATGGGTTGTAGATATCATTTAGCTCATAAAAAGGGAGGTAATTATACAATGAGGTAGTATAAAAACTCCAGAATAGCTAAACAATGGGGATAGCCCTTAGGGCCCCAGCAGTAGGAATTCCTAAATGTATTATGGAGTTCTACCATTAAAAAGGAATCTTTGGATGTCGAATATGGTTAACCAGTTGACTGCTAGCTGAAAGCCTGGCAGTTCTAAACCATCAAAAGGTGTGCCTTGGAAGAAAAGCCTTATGATCTGTTTTCAAAAAGTCAACTTGGAAAACCCTATTGAGCAGCTCCTCCGGCGGCCCTGCAGGTTAATGCACTGGACTGACTACAAGGTCGGCAGTTCAGTCTTAACAGTTGCTTCTCAGAAACCTTATACAGGGTCGCTATGAGTCAGAACTGGCTGGATGGCACTTAACAACTCTACATACATGAAGCTTCCATGAGATAGATTTGACTCTATACAACAGCCATTAAAAATGCCTCAACTGTATAACGTGTCAACCTTTTTCTTATCTGTATACTGACTTCTTGGAGTCTTGGTGTAGTGCCTTAGGATAAGTACTAGACAGCAGTTCAAACCTACCCTTCAAAAATCCTATACAAGGTCTCTGTGAGTCTCAACCGACTCCATGGCACTTAACAACAATACTGAATTGTTCACTTTTTTTTTTTTTACAAAATCTTAAGAAAGCTCTGGACAGACACTGGGTTCCTTTGTATTGGGCTGTACACTCTCATTCTTAGTTCTGTCAGTCTTGAACAGGAGAGGGGCCTAACCTGACTGCCACTTCCATGTACTGTGGAAAACCTATAATCAGGAATTTGAGGAAATCAACTACCACACTGGTAAGAGAGCCAGTAGATGATTATGTAAAATGGGTATCCTGGCAAGTTGTCATCCATCTATCTCCCACGCTTCTCCCTTCATACAGGGAAACTAACCTGTGCCCATGGAGAAAAAGCAAGATCTCTAAATAGTTCCTAAATCCTACTGTAGAGGATTTGGAGCCCTGGTGTGGCGCTGTGGGCTAATGCACTGCAAAATTCAGACTGCAAGGTCAGTGATTCAAGCTCACCAGCTGCTCCTCGGAAACCCTATATGGGGTCGCTATGGGTTGGAATCCACTGGATGGACGGCACTTAACAACAACTATAGAGGATTATGACTAAAGGTGTTATAGTGTTGGTAAGTACCTTTGAGTTGGTTCCAACTCATGGCAACCCTGAATAGGGTTTTCAAGGCTTTTCAAATCTCTGCCGGAACAGAAAACTTCATCTCCTGCAGAGTAGCTGGCAGATTCAAACTGCAGCCCTTGTACTTACCACGTCCAGTACTTACTGTATGGAACCACCATGCTTCCTGTCCATACTCAACTATTAAGTATAGTGGAGTCAATTCTGATTTGTAGAGGATTTGCAAGGAGCAGCTGGTGGGTTTGAATTGGTGACCTTGTAGTTCACAGTCCAGTACTGATCCTACAGCACCACATCAGGAGTCCAGATGTTCAGAAAATCCTGAATAATTAGGTAATAACATTTCAAGATTTCAGTGAATCTTAGTGAAGAATGTCTAAAGAGGCACTGAAGATGTTATCAAGTAAAGTGCCAGAAATTATTTTCTTGGCAGTCTTTAAAACAAGATAATTATTCATATAACAAATATTTATTGGATGTTGTGGACACTGTTGGCTCACTTGGGAGGTTTGTTGTTTTTGTTGTGAAGTGCCATCGAGTTGGTTCCAACCCATAGCGACCCTGTTTAAGGTTTCCAAGGAGCAGCTGGTGAGCTTGAACCACTGAACTTGTAGTTCAAATGGCTTTGCAGTCTGGCTCATTTACTCAACTACACCACACCAGGACTCCCACTTGGGAGGTATTAATACATAAAACAAAGATCCCTGCTCTCTTGACTCCTACAGCACAAGGCATCCTACTGTCTCAGTACTTACCTACTAAAAGAAAGTTTGATGGCTCAAACTCAGCAGCTGCTCCAGGAGTGATGGTCGGCTTCTATAAAGATTTATAGCCTTGGAAATGTTATGGGGCAGATCTACTGTGTCCTGTAGGATTGCTGAGTCTGAATCCACTCAACAGCAATAAGTTTTGGAAGTTTGGGTTATAGGAGGGCACTTCATTCCATTATCTTTTGATCTTAGTTGTCCACAAACTTTTGAAGCCCCCCGCTCATAGATCAGACAGGAATCCCTGGATGGTGCAAATGATTATGAAGAAAGGTTGACGGTTCAGAGACACCTTGGAAGAAAAGTATGGTAATCTACTTTTATAAAATTAGCCACTGAAAACCCTGTGGAGTACAAGCTGTACTTTGACGTAGTGTCTCAATGAGTTGGAATCCACTAGGTGGCAGTATCTTGGAATATAACTAACCTATGCGCCACAGTGCTTATCTTACAGTGCTACACCAGGACTCCAAATCAAACCTACAAGAAGTAGAATAGGGAACCAGAGATCTCCATTTATAATGAAGTTAACTATGAAACAAAGAGAAGAATAGTGTAATACCGAACTTCTAAATGATGAAGTCAAGTAGATTTCAAGATAAAACAGACTACCTTAAACAGATGAAAAATGAATAAATTATAGGGAAACTTCAAAGAAAATTAATACACCTTCATATCAAAATTAAAAAGAGGAAAACCAGAAATATTAAGTAAACATAAAAACAACAGCAGTAAAGAAAACAAAATCCACAAGCAAAATTAACTCAGTGTAGAAATTTATGTGGAATAACAAAAGTAGCAACACCGCAAAAGCACAGTAAAATGACAGCAACCAGTTCATAACTATCAATGATAATAATGAATGTAAATGGATTAGATTCACCAATCAAGAGACAGAGTAGCAGAATAGTTAAGAAAAATGGATCCTTCAATAAGCTGCCGATAAGAGGCACACTTTATACACAGACAAACTAAAATTCAAGGGATGGGAAAAATATCTAATGGCAATCAAAAATGAGCAGGACTGGCAATATTAATCCTGATAAAATAGACAAGGCAAAAA